TCCCTGTCCCATCTGTCCGACGTCCTCCGGCTGTTGCTCGGGTTACTGCTGCACAGCTGACCGAACTTAACGCCGTCACACACCCACAAAACAGCTGGACACACACAGATTTAGACTTCCAGCTTAAGTTTAACGTTAATTAAGATTTTTAAGTTAAATAATTTGTAACGGTTCATATCATTACGTTACTAAATTTAATCATTTTATTCCCTTATTATTCAAATGCAAAGTTAAAAAACTCAGATCTTCAAACAATTACAGATAAAAGTTTATGACATTTCTGAATAATCCCAAAACCTCGAGGAAAGTTTGATGTTTGCATTGTGGGGACCTGACGAGTCTCCCTGTCCTCAGTGAGTCCTTATGAGCCGGTCCCCGTAACACCACAAAGGTAAGTTTATGTTTGTAACGATGAAAATAGTTTTTAAACACCGTCATCATTATCAGGCATGCATGTGGAAAATCTAAAGATTGTTTTTAACAGGTTTATCATCAGTGCAGAGCAGAAAACTCACCCAGTAAAACTACGACGTGTCTCATCTTCAGGTCTTCAGATTTGATTCAGATCCTGAGTTTCTGCTGCTTTTCTCTGTTTTTATAGTCTGAATTGTGGAAACACCAGAAAACAAACACGATCAAATTATTTCACAGGAAAAACATCTTCTTCCTTCTGTGAAGCTGTAAAATCATAATCTGTATTGTCTGAACAAAGTTCAAAGGTCAGAGCTGCCAGTAAGACATTAAAGTCGTGTAAAGTGTGCGGGTGGATGTGCTGCAGGAGCCGATGTCCAACATGGAGGACAGTTTGGTGCTCGTTACTCAGACTAGACTGAGAACAGTTAACCCTCGAGATAAAACCTTGGCCGTGTAAAGCTACTGTGAGCAGGTACATGCTAGCTGGCTCACTCTCCTGTCACGCATCATTAGTTACTTACCTTTGCTTGTTACAGTCACCTGGATAACGTGAACTTTAAGGTAAACCAGCCAATTAACCCCTCCATCCATCCAGGTGTGATTTTATTAGCAACAGCATTCATGGCCGCTGCAGGGTAGCATCGCCGCGCTGGGTGAACCTGCCACAGACACGAATCATCACATTGTGATGAATCAGCTGATCTCAGACCAGCGGACTTTTGTTCATCCTTCTCAGGAGTCCCTTCATTTTATCAGTGGAGTCACAAAAGAAACCGGATCAGGACAAAACCACGGTCATGTCTGGTCATTCACCGGAGACACCGGGAACGTTTGCAGTGGTGGGACGAACCTGTCCTTAAACCCTTTGACCTTTAACCTCACTCAAACAGGATGCAGCAGCTTTTGGACACACACATTTATACACAACTAACAGTCAAAGGGCTCAAACTGCTCCAATAATATGTCTGCATACACGACACTGCACAACCCCGCAGCCCACGCGTTGTTAATCAGTCACTGAAATGTGGTTGTGCACGGTCCAAACAGCATGACAAAGTAAAAGGATAGCGATGATGGCTCTGGCTCTTTCACAGCAGGAGGCCTGACACTGTTAACATTAACTGAGGAGGAGCCACACGACCAGCAGTAAGGCGTCCAAAGGGCCGAGTCGCTGCAGTCGTAATCAGACACAGCCGGCACGTGTCTGTGGAAATGTCACGTTTTGAACTTGGCCCAGTTTTTCTAACTCGTGTTTATCCTTCAGCCTTATCGTGAGCTGACTGAATCACTGATCTAAGCCTGGAAAGCCGGATCACAACACCCTCGCTCGCATCCTCCAGCGAAGGTGGAGGCCGGTCCTCTTTATTTCTTTACAGCTCTGACTGAGAAACAGAAAGAGCAGCAGACACTGACGTTATCCAGGAAAACACGTTCCTATTGTGCGTACACAGTTTGCAGTAAAGTGCAGTCACACGTGTACAAATGCACACGGATCCAGATGTGAGCTGTCTTTGCAGTTTGCACACATCCAATCCAACTTTATTTATAAAATTGAAGCACAAAGTTCTTTCCAGTAAAACACAGTAACATACACCTCTGTGGAGTGCGCAGGTGCAGAAGGCCTGCCAGGTACGTAGGAGCTCGGCCATTCGAATCTTTAAAAGCAAACATAACATTTTTAGATGAACTCTAAGATAAACAAGCAACAAGTGTTTGTCCCTGTCAGCAGGCGAGCAGCAGCATCCTGGGCCATCTGTAAGCGTCACAGTGAGGCCTGATCACACCGACATAACCTGCATCATTACCTGCATCAGCTGTGTCAACTTTCACTCCAAGCTTGGTGACGCTGGTCTGATGGTGCACACATGGCTCATGCACCAGGTGTTTCACAGGTGATCACACTCAGCGTGCTAATTGGTGGAGGGCTCCACCTGCTGGCCATCTGTCTCGGAGTGATAACACTAAACGCACCAGAACATTTGCTGTTGTCTGAAATGTTATTTGTGTGGAAACCAGTGAATTAATGAACTTTGTACATTTGATTATCACGACACATTCAGTTTCTCATCAAACACATTTCGGTCCTTCTGTCTCAGATCTGCCGGTTTTTGAAGAGTTATATTATTTATAATAAATATTTATATTAAATTTATATTAAATATAAAAGCCTTTAAATTTGTTTGATCTTATTTATCATGAAAAAAGAAAGAATCTGAAATTTGAGACAGACAGAAATATCGGAGGACTTTAAAAAACCACACAGAGTCCAGCAGGCCATTGTTTTCATTTCAATGTGTTTAGTCACAAAAATGGTGAAAATACTGGTTTTATTCAACCTTCATGCTCTATTAAAGAACACCGCAGACGGTCGTGTCTGTCTCAGATCTCTACATATTCCTTTAAAGTTTGGACGTGGTCCCAGTCTTTGTTCTGGTCCTGATCCCAGTCTTTGTTCTGGTCCCAGTCTTTGTTCTGGTCCTGGTCCCAGTCTTTGTTCTGGTCCCAGTCTTTGTTCTGGTCCTGGTGTATAGCACACCCCTCGGGTGTGACACACACTGGTTGCTGTGGAACACACTGTGGTCTCTCTGGTCTGTCTGACTGGAAATGCTTGTTTGCGTCACCCGACACCTGAGACATCCTCCCTTCAGTCAGCCCCACCCACCCCTGGCCCTGGGGGGAGGTAGGGTGTGGAGAACTAAGCGCTCCCTTCGCAGCAGTACTCTTTGCTGACTCTGCCCTCATCAGGTCCGGGCTGGGGGCCTCAGCGTTCACACAGTGTGGTTAATGATTGAGGGGGGGTGGGGGTGGGGGGGTGTCACTCATTGACCGCAGGAACTTTTAGACCCACAGACAGAATTAGGGTGGCGGGACTTCACTGTCACTCCACTGTCACTCCACTGGGACTCTACTGGGTTCGACTCAGAGGAAGTTGAAGGAGACTTTTAATCTGCTGGAGACAATCTGAGCGTCTTCCTTTCCTTCTTCTGTCCTTCTGCCACCCAGCTTCACCTGGCCGATCTCCACCCCTCATTGGGGGAGGGCTGAGTGCCCCTGGATACCTGATCACCTGCGGTCCAAGCCACACTTTTACCTTTGTTTTGCTGTTGTGAAGCAGCTGACCAGCTTCAGGTTTGCACCAGAAGCTCCAGGGTCAGCCACCGTGGTGAAGCTGCAGCGATGGCTGCTGGAAAGCAGCGGGACAGCCGGGGGACGCCGCCGGATGGCGGGTGGGGTGGGTGATTGTTGGATGCTGCTTCATGGTGACGGTGTGCACACGTGCAGTGACCAGGTAACGCACACACGCACATCCATATACTGGTCTTTATAGCTGTGTGAGGACCCTTACAGTCTTGGTGCACAGAGTGAGGGATCGTGGACGTCCACACCAACACTGCACACAGCCGTGTTAGTGTAGCTACAGATGATGGTGTCTGTTAGACTGGCTGTTATATCAGAGTTTACTGATTTGTGCAAACATAAAAGAGACGGGCAAGAATCGCTTCTGTTGTTTTGCATTTTGAGGTCACTTTGGGTTCATTATGGCCCTGATACACCTTTAAAGAGGCACCTGAGCGTGTATGTGGACATGTTTAAAGAGATCAAAACATTTTCAGAGACAAAATCTTCAGTGAAAGAAGAATCAAAGACATGCAGACAACATTCCTGTGACATGACTCAGTAACGAGGACTTCAGGCCAATTAGAGCGATTGCCAAACAGCCTTTAACCATTCAACAGAAGACGGTCCAGAGATCTGCCCTAAAATTAAAACCAGTCTTCTCACTGTGACACAGCAGCATGTTTCTCTTTGTTACACATGCAACAAAAAAGGAACATTGTGTACTACTTTTAAAAAAACCTGCTGGAGAAACATCTGCCAATTACTGAGGTTAATTATAGGGATGGGTCCCGGTATCATGGCACCGGTTCTGACATAAACGGTAGTAACCAGACCGAAAAGCAGCGCACATTTCTTTTTTTTCCGCCTGAGCTGTGATACACTTTGGATTCTAGCCAATCATTTTACGTTTCTGAGGATAGTAGGCGGGTCCAGGCACGTACGTTCTTTTAGAGCAGAGCTACAGATTAAAAATGCCCAAGGCAAAGTCTGGCTGTACTTCACAGCAAAATATGCAAACTCAGCAGCAACAAGTGCTTTAAGCTGATACTGTGATACTGTCAAAGGAGGTAACACCTCGAATCTGATGAAACACCTGGCGACGCATAGCGTTTTTTTTAAAAGCCGACAAATGCGCCGTATTTGATAGCTTGCTGCGAGACCTCACACCGAGCACATCTACTGCGGGTGGGTTGCCTGTTATCAGACCCGGAGTTAGCAACATCCCCAAAAACACGAAGAATAGAGTCCTGGCCCCTAGCCCTGCCAGTGTAGCAGAAATGATGAGGATGATGATGCAGCAGCAGCCGTTCTTCTCTGCGTGAGTAGCTTAATGTTGTTCGTGTGTAATTTACGTTGAGTAGGCTAACCACGTTATTACATTAATGCATGTAAGGTGAACTAGCAAACACCATCATAGCTACATGCGGCTGTCTTCTTGTTTGATGGCAGATACTCCCTTCACCCTGGCCAAAAAGGCTAAAATGACCAAAGAAAAAGTGGAAAACAGTTAAACATGAGAGGTTTTTGGACAAAGTTTGTGTTTTTCCATTGATTAAGCACTGCTTCCAGCCAAGAGTGATACCATATATGCCCCATAGCTGCAGAAAAGGCTAACATTGTTATCTTTTTTCAAAAAACAGCTGAACATGGGAGGTTTTTGGACAAAGTTTGTGTTCTCCATTCTTTAAGCACCGGTTTGAGCACCGTTTGAGCACCGGCAGCGTTTCAAAAGTACCGGTTTGATACTGGTATCGGATAAAACCTAAACGATACCCATCCCTAATTAATTAGTGACGTGGCTGCGTGTGAAAAAGCGTCTGAGGCCTGAAGCTGGGTGGCGTGAAGTAGGGGTTGGCGATATAAACAATATATGATAGAAACGATATAAATTTGGCCAACGACAGAGATTTTGACTATATCGTGATAGCGCATGTTGATGATGTCATCAAGCTGCGCCTGTTTTAGTCGAAAGCGTCGCAGCGGCTAAAACCATTATCATCTGCAAATTATGGCGGGTGACAGTCACAGCAAAGAGGCGAAGCACTTTTGAAATATGGGGAAAGCCAAAAACTGCGCTTCCGTAACATCGATTCATTAATGTTGAATTCTCTCGCAGCTGCTTTGTTCCCATGTTGTTGCCGTATATTAATAACTAACCTCGTATTGTGGATGAATGATCTCAGTTGTTCTCCTGACTGAACTTTGGCCCGTGAAGTTTGGCCCACTGCTGTTTAGTTTTCTGTCTTCATTTATGTTGGAAGTGACAGCAGAGCTGTACGTTTTAATTAGCTTCAGAAATCTCTCAGTCAGAACATGCTATGTCATGTTTAGGTGGAAACTAGTGAGCTAACTTCCTGCTAACTTCTAACTCCATTAAATTTAATAAATTCTGTTTTCATGGATGCCTGGATGTTAAACTTAATTGTTACACCCGGTAAAGCAGCAATGCTGATGATTTGATTAAAGATGAAAGAATTTAGACCGTTTTTAACTCTCGGTGTTCGTTTGACTTTGGGACGTGAAGCTGACGGAGTTTTGGACCCAGATTACTCCGTGAAGCTCCTCCCTACGGCAGCCGTAATGCTCTGACCATCCATCAAAACATTTTTAACAGATTTCTGCAGCCAAAATCGGTTCGAGATCAGTAAGCACAACCAGAAGTCATACATAAGGCACACTCTCGATTTTTGAGAACATTAAAGGATTTTAAGTGTGGAAAACACGTTATACAGAAGAAAAGAATATATCGCGATATATATCGTTACCACACGTGCTTCAAATTATACCGCGATATGGATTTTAGGTCATATCGCCCAGCCCTAGCGTGAAGCTGGGTGGAGTTCAGCACTTAGCCAGAGGATGTGTGGGCCAGAGTTCAACCGCCTCTCAGAATCACTGATTCACAATTCTGCACAGAAGTGAGAGCGCACAGAGAGCTGCTGCAGGTTTGTGGATGGTGTTTGTTGCTGGTACTTAGCATCCAAAGTTTTAAAGAGTATGAGCCTCAAACATGCCTGACGAGGTCTACAGAATTCATCCTTCTGCACAAAAAGATGCGACTTCTGCTCCGCCTCATTCACCATCACATCCATACCATCAGTCTGAACGCCCTGCATTAGGAGCATGCTCAGTAGAAGTAACTTATAATTATATTGGGCACCTGTGGCTTGTTTGTTAGAGTGGGTCATCGGTGGGACATCTCGTTTGAATGAAGTGTGTGAAAACAGACTGAGTAAAAAAGCACTATAAGTACCATCACACCAGCTAGTGCTACGTGTTTATGATGAAGTATTACACTCTGCAGGTCGGGGAATAATAACAGGAAAAACACCTCACAGGTATTTTCAGCACATACAGGGGTGTGTCTACAGGGGGGCATGGGGTGTGCACTATTTTACACTGTAGTTCCTCGTTATTCTGCAGATTAAGATTATTAATAAAATATTTAAGAATATGTTATGTAAGCATGCATGTAAGCATGTTTACCGCAGGCCTGCAGAGCACCAGTCAGACCAGGCAGAAACCAGAACACACAGATTCAAAAACACACCGTTTCTCAGCACGTGACACTGATCTGAGAGCAGTCAACATCTAATTATGTGTGTGCGTGTAGCTGGTCTCACTGGGAGATGGGGGGCTGTGTGTCGGGGTGAACTGGTTTTAATGGGTGGGGGAGGCTGAGCTGGCATTGGCTCCACAGTGCATGCAGGCTGCTTGTTTCAGGTTCAGTTAATCTTAGTACTCAGATTACTTTTTCCTCGTAAGGAGTAAGCTGCGTGACCGGTTTTCCCTCTGAGATCGTCTCCGAACAGCCTCGCCGGTGTTTGCTCACCTTCTACCCTCAGAACGTCGTTCCAAGCTAAAAGCAGAGCTCTCCAGCAGGAGAGCGTCTTTGTATGTGAAGGACACGTGCAGCTCAAAGACTCTGGAGCTCTGCTGCTCGCTCTGCGCTCGGGGGATTTACAGCCCCACACCCCCTACACCAAACACCTGCACCGTTGCACCACCAGCCGCATCTGTGATGTTGTCGTTAAAGACTCCGCCCCCTGAGGACGGCAGAGCGGTTGACATTTCAGAAACGCCCTGACACTGCTGTCAGCCAAAGGAAACCTGCTTCCATCCAGTAATTAGTGACACTCAGCTGTGCTTCCCGGGTGGACGCGTCTGACGGAGGAGTCCTCGGTGCCCGCAGTGACCGGATCGTCTATGCTATTCCTTTCTTCCAAACAGGAAGTTTACCGGAGGCGCCGGGTCCGCCCTGCTGCGGCCTGGCCCCCGGGGCTGAATGGGTTAAACACAGAGACACGCGGCCTCCTCCTGTGACCTTTGACCCACATTTCCTGCTCCGACCGGAGACCGGCGCGACTGCTGCTGCAGCTGGAAAACTTCTCAGAAACATAAGATAAGATAAGATAAGATAAGATAAGATAACCTTTATTAGTCCCACACGTGGGAAATTTGTTTTGTCACAGCAGGAAGTGGACAGTGCAAAAGTTATGAGGCAAAAATTAGAATACAATAAGAATAAATACAGTACACAGCTGTACAGAATAGAATAAAATAATATACTATATACAGTAGAATAAAATAGAATAAAAATATACAATAAGATAAAAATAGAATACGAATGCTATATACAACTGAGTAAAAATACAACGATGCCAGAAAAGATTATTGCACTTAGTGTTATTGCACATGTGTGGATGTGTGTGTTTGTTCAGTTAAAGTCTTTGTTGTGGAACATGAACATGTGTTCAAAGCTCCGCCTCCCCTCCATCAGCTCGCTGTGAAAGAGTGTGTTTGTGCGTCTGTGCGTGTGTTATGTCCTCACAGTGAGGCGAGAGAGCAGGCCCGTCCCCCATGTTTCTCACTGCAGTTATACAACGACACATTAATCCTGAAGTTATGTGTGACTGGCACACGTTACATAACACACACACACGCCTGCCCTGACTATGCTTTGTTTACAGGAAGTGCCGCCTTAAACCCTCCCTACTTCCTGTTCTGACTCTAATCAGCATTAGGGAGAATGCACGTTGAAGACTTAACTTTACGTCCATCTTTATGTACAGTCTGTTTTGGGGGGAGAACTACAATTCCCAAGATGCATTTAGGCAAGAAACATCCAATCAGTGAGCTACAAATCTTTGTGTGCAGCGCTTTGACTGCCTGTCTGTGAAAAGCGCTTAATAAATAAACTTACTTACTTACAAAGTCAGCTGACTGCAAAAGATGAAGAAATTCTATTTAAATCTGAGCAGCAGCAAAGAATGATGGGTACTGTAGTGCACTGAAACTTTTTTCAGGGACAGTCATGGTGTGTCTTTGCAGCCGAGCGTCAAAGGTGGGGGCAGTGTTAACCCTCTCTTGTGTCTGCAGGTGTGTCTCCATCTTCTTCGTGGAGTTCCAGGCTCACTTCGGGGCCGACTACGCCGCCACCGCCTGGATCCACAGCCTGCTGGACTGCAGCACCATGCTGTGTGGTGAGTACCGCCAATCAGACATCACAGAGTGGTTCTTGTGGTCACGTGAGGCTGAGCGTGTCTGTATGTGCAGCTCCCGTCGGCAGCCTGGTGGGAGCCGCTACTCCGGCCGGGCGGCGGTGGTGGCGGGGGGCCTTCTGGCCTCCTGCGGCCTCCTACTCAGCTCCTTCGCCACCAGCCTGGAGATGCTTTACTTCAGCGCCGGGATCCTGACAGGTCAGACTCAGACATGTCCTCCCCATCTTACAGCGGCGTGCTCTTTATCATGCTGACACGTAAAATCTGTCCGCAGGTCTGGGCTTCGCCCTGTGCTACACCCCCGCCATCGCCCTGGTGGGCTGTTACTTCCAGCGGAGGAAGGCGCTGGCGTACGGTGTCGCCATGTCGGGCAGCGGGATCGGGACCTTCGTGCTGGCTCCGGTGGTGCAGATGCTCATCGAGTTGTACTCGTGGAGGGGGGCACTGCTCGTCCTCAGCGCCTTCGTTGCAAACCTGTGCGTCTGTGGAGCGCTGCTCCGACCAATAGCACTGCAGGAGGAGCAGTGTGGTAGGTGTTCTCATCAATCACATGTTCCCTCAGCGGGCCAATCAGAATCAGACTCACCTGTGCGTTCTGGTGCAGGTGACATCTCACAGCAGGACGTGGAGAAACCTCCCAAAGACTCTGTGGACCTCCTAGCTCCGCCTCCTCCACCTGAAAGCTCCGCCCCCAGGCTGAGGAGGATGTGGCGCCTCCTGTCCTGTGGGGAGTACCGCTTCCTGCTGCTGCCTGACTTTCTGGGTCTGGCCGTGTCCTTCCTGTTTCTGGCCAGCGGCTGCAGCCTCCCCTTCGTTTACCTGGTGCCCTACGCCCTGAGTGCCGGCATCAGCCACCAGCACGCCGCCTTCCTCATGTCCATCCTGGGGGTCATCGACATCGTGGGGAACATCACCTTCGGTTGGCTGACGGACAGAAGGTAAGGCGAGTGTGCGCGAGGACGAACACTGACACTGGCCTGTTCCACACGTTACAGCCTCGTTCCAGAGGGGAACATTCGACACCCACAGCGAGCGCGAGCACGTTTATTAGCCTTCCTGTGACTCTCGGGGCTCAGCGCAGGTGCTTCCTGCTTCCACTGCTGTGGACCTCAGACTAGGGTGAAGGTTCATCCTCCACCAGGTCATTGTCCTGGTGGAGGATGAACTCCGTCCACACGTGACGCTTAAAGACCTGAGGCTGTACCTGCTGCCAAAGGTGCTTCAACTAGGTGCTTTGGGGTTCCTGTAGCTCAGGAGGTAGAGCAGGTCACCGATCAGAAGGTCGGTGGTTCGATCCCTGGCATGCCAAGTATTCTTGGGCAAGATACTGACCCCAGGTTGCTCTCGGAGTGTGGATGTAGTTGGAAAGTGCTTGTGTGAATGGCAGTGATTGGGTGACTGAGCGCTCCGAGTACTCCGCGTGAGTAGAAAAGTGTTAAATGAGAATCAGTCCATTTACCTGACCCAAGCTGCGAGTCGTCTCCTCCATGTTCGATTTTACTTCATCTTTGATACGTTTGCGAGAATTCAAAGCACACGTCCGGCGTGTCGCTCTGTGTTTAGGATTTTGACCTTTATTGGTGCTGCTCGGCGCCTTCGAGCTCGTGCAGGCGTGACTTCAGCATCACAGCGAGCGTCACGATGTTTGCAGGTGATAGCGATGGAGACGCCCACTCGACTTTGCAGCAGAACGCTTTCTTTTTAAAGGGACAGTTCACACAAACATGGCTGACATTTGAGTGCTGATGCCGTCGGGCGTCCTGTTTGTCTCTCAGGTGTTTGAAGCCGCACCGCCTGGCCTGTTACGTCTTCTCGGTGGGGATGGAGGGTCTCTGCTGCCTCTTCACGCCATTACTTTGTTCGTTCCCGCTCCTCGTGCCCTTTGCCATGCTCTACGGCTACTTCGACGGCGCCTACGTGGCTCTGATCCCAGTGGTGACGTCTGATGTGGTCGGAACTACGTATCTGTCCTCAGCTCTGGGCGTTGTCTACTTCCTCCACGCCATACCTTACCTGGTCAGCCCGCCCATTGGAGGTGAGGGAAACAGCTCCACCCTCCTGCTTCATCCATCTTTAAAAGAGAAAAAACTTTAAATCCACCTAAATTTTAAATATGTGTTTAAAGACCGTGCGTCTAATTGTCCTCACAAACGTCATTGGATATTTGAAATCGGATGACATCACTCTGACATCGCCTGCTGATGATGTCACACCTGAAACTCTTCTTCTCTTTCTGCAGGCTGGCTGGTTGATGTTACAGGAAGTTACACAGCCACTTTCCTCCTCAGCGGCGCCGCTCTGCTGGCCAGCGCGGTCATTCTTTCCGCCGTCACTGGAATTCGCCATTGCCGCCATCGATCAGATTCGGTGCTGCTGCAATCTTCTGAAAACTGTCATCAGGGAACCCGAGCCCCTCCACCTCAGCCTGTCTGACCAATCAGGTGGTTTCGTCACCTTCAACAGGAAGGTGTTACCTCACAGCCCTCAGGCTGCGTTCGCTCTGCAGGTCTTGATGCTCAGTTCAGATTTTTTGATCAAATCTGATTGTTTTGTCTGCTCGTTCACACTACAAATAAAATGCGACAGCAAACGCGCTCTAGTGTGAACGCTCAGAGCGGCCGCGTGCGCAAAAGAAGACGCCACACACAACGCGCTCTGTTTACACCCAGACCAAACAGTATGTGTGACTGATGGCCTTAATGTAAAGACTTGTTTCCGACCTTACGTTTCCCAATTTTCCTTTAAGTTGTAAAGTTGTTTTGTTATTTACATTTGGCCAAACAATGATCCTTATTGCTGTTGTTTCTCCAACATTGTCTTCCCAGCAGTTTCACTGGATGGTCAGGAAGCGTTCGCCATGTCTTCTCCGGCGCTGATAATTGGCGTCTGTCTCGTGTCAGTGACGTAAAAGACGGATTTAATGCGACGTGACCATCAAACAGCAGCTTTCTAAAACATCAGATATGTATCGGACTCAGGACCACATACGAGAGTGACCCAGATCGGATGTGAAGATATCGGATTTGTGCCGTTCACACTGTCACACCATGATCGGATAGATGGTCGCACAGGGTCACAAAAGTCAGATTTGATGCTTTCGCCTGCAGCGTGAACGCAGCCTACCAATCAGATTCCTCGACACCAAAACCAAGCAGACGGCTAAACAGGCTGACAGGTGTCAATCAAACGATGACTTCACAGGAAGTGAAATCTTTTTAGTCTGCTGAAAATGAAAACGAATGATTTTGTTTTAATGTTGAAGAAACTCACAGCTTCCTGTCTGAGCTGCCTCATTATGTGTGAGAGAGTGTGTGAATGGACCAGAATCATCTTCAGGTGTAACTCAGGTTACCTGTACCTGAGACAGGTACTGGTAGATGTCAGCGTGTGAGCAGCGGGGCTGAAAACGCTGCTGATTGGTGGAGAGCGTGATGTCACAGTCTGAGTGATGCTGATGTTTGTAACGTGTTACAGGAAAATAAAAGCTTTGCCTCAGTTTGTGCCTCCTGCGTTTTCTTCATGGATCAGCTGGAGCTCTGCGGTCGTCCAGCTCACGTTAGCTTTACCCTGAAATAAACAGCGAGGACAACTTTGCTCCGCCCTCCTGCACCCAGCAGGTCAGCCAGCGCAAGGAGAAGCTGCTGGTGTCAGAGCTTGAGCTGAGGAATCAGCAGCTTCATCCTGATTCTGCGGCTCACCTCGAGTCCTCGCTGCCAGCAGAGGTTATGTCATTGAAGGAGCCCCAGGTGGCTCAGGTAAGACCTCTGAAGCCACTTTATCTGACACGCCCACCCCGACACGTCAGCGTGAACACGTCAGCAGCGACTCAGAGGTCAGCGTGTTGCCCAGGGACAGAGTGGAGCAACCTTCGGCTCCGTCTCCTGAGCTACAGCCGCCTCAGGTACTCCCTCAAACACTGGAGTCTGAACCTTCATGTGACATCTCCACATTTCAGCACCAGACAGGAAGTGAAGTCACACACTGAGGAAGCTACAGTAAAACTTTATTTACAGCATGAATCCCTTTGAGGCACTGCAGACAGACTCGGAGCTCGAGCACAAACGTACCGAGGAGGCGCCCCGGCCTCCGCCCGCTGCAGGGACTGACCGAACACCGCTCACCGAGACATTTACTTTGTCTTTATGTCGACGACCTCACGTGAGTGCGGCTGAAAGAAGCTTCACCTGGACATGATTCAGCTCACCTTTATTTACATCACAGCAGTCACAGAGATCCACCTTAAACAATTCCACCTTAAATTTAAAGCCTCACAAAGGTGAACTGGTGGGTTTCTGTTTTTTTTTAAAGGTCCAAACATTAAAAACAAACAAACCAACAAACTGATGACAGACGAAGAACGCCGCACATTAAAGATCGATCATGATGTCACTTCCTGCAGGTTTGAGAGCGTAGCTTCCTCTTCATGATGCTGTGGTCGCTCTCCCGATCCTCCGCCGCTGCTCCGGGCGTCTGACGGGACAAACAAAGACGCATTCATATTTAGAAACAAACAGCCGACTCCGCTTCGTGCCTCAGAGTCAGACTCCGTCTCACCGTGTGTGGCGAGTCCACCATCGGCGCCCACGGGTCCATATTGTAAAGCTTCCTGCGGCCTCGCCGGGGTTTGGTTGCCACGGTTACCGCCTCCTTCTCCACCGAGCTTATGTTTTTATCTGCAGAGAGGACGGGACGGTGAGTTCGCTCTGGAGCCGCAGGGCCTGACGAGCCTGTTAGAAACACTTCAGCTAAACTTTCTGTTGTAACATAAAATCAGACACGGTGGCAGCTCAGCGCTGCCCCTGCTGGCGCTGGGTGGTCGAGGTGTGGCTGACCTTTGCTGCCCAGGACGCACGGTGAGGTGTGGATCGCCTCTTCAATCTTCTGCAGAGCGCATCCTCTCTCCTGCACCACAGAAGAAGAAGGAGGTTTAAGGTGAGGGCTCTGAGGACGCGTGAGTTCATCTACCTGTCGGCTGGGACGGCTCACCTGAACGCAACGGGCGTTTCCCCTCGGTTTGTTCCTCTTGTTTTCACTGTGCACCAAAACCTGAAACACAACAGCACACACATGTCAGAGCGCCTGAGACACACACAAACAAACACACTCTGGGAGGCGGCTCCACCCTCTGGTGATTTATACGAAAGGAAAGAAGAAGAACGGAGCGTCAGCTTGTCGAGGTGATGCTGGTGGCGGCACCTGTCGTTCAGGAGAATACTGTGGCGGCTTCCTGCTGTATAACGGATAGACTGAGTATACCGGCGCCCTTAGACTCCTCCGTGCTGAGAAGGCTGCTGGCGGCGAGAACCTGCCAGTCTGGCACAGTGAGGCGAGATGAGGCCGCGCTTCAGAAGACGATAAAAGTCTAACACGTGGTGATTTTAACCCGGGATGCAGTGACGGGTTAAAATCTTAATTATTCACACAACCACAGCGATAGGCTTAAATAGGCTCCGCCCTACCTCCAGCTCGCAGCTCTTCCTCTTCCTCCCCATGGTTCTGGGAGTTTTCTTCCTGGCGGCCATGTTGGACCTAAGAGGAGAGTCTCGAAGGTCCTGAAAGAAAAGTAAAAACATAAAGCAGAACGCTCCTTCGTGAAAACCCGTCGGCATTTCTTCTTCTCTTGTACTTTTTGAGGCTGACTTACCTGAGTGTCTCTCTGCTTCATCACTGCCTCACACTCCCCACTCTTCATCCTCTTGCCCCCCCCATCCTCCTCCTCCTGTCTCCTCTCCTGCAGTTTCTGGATCTCCTTCTTCAGCTCTTCCACCAGAGGCAGCGTCTCCTCCTCCTCCCTCCTCTGCAGCTCTGACAGGAAAAACAGGTCGGAATCAAACCAAAGACTCACACACACACACAGACACACACACACACACACACACACACACACACACACACACACACACACACACACACACACACACACACACACACACACACACAGACACAGACACACACACACGCACACAGACACAGACACAGACACACACACACACACACACACACACACACACACACACACACACACACACACACACACACACACACGCGCACAGTGTGCCCTGACGTGAGCGTTAACAGGAAACAGTTTTCAGGTAACCAATCAGAGCGCGTTACCTCGACTGAGCGTCTCCACCTGTTGGCGGCTTTCTTCCAGACCTTTCTCCTTCTCATCCAAGACTCGCTGCAGCTCTGACACACAAACAACATCATCAGCCAATCAGCTGAGAGCAGCAGCCAGCTGACCGTCCCCTTCGGCTCATCTGATTGGTTACTTACCTCCCACCTCCATCTCCCGCTGCCTCCTCCTCTCCTCGCTGTCCTGAAATGCTGCTTGTAGGGCGTCGCCTTCTGAATCGAGCTCCGCCCTCAGGCTCTCCAGCTGGTGGGAGAATTCTGCTCTCTGATTGGCCAGCTCCTCTCTGAGCTCAGCGCACCTGTTCTCACTGCAGGAGGAGAAGAAGAGTTTCAACCTCTGTTTATGGATCGATAAAACCTGATTGGTGGCAATATCGATCACCTGAGCGTAAGCTCCGCCTCCAGCCGCCGCTTGTCTGTCTGCAGCTCTTCGATCTGTTGGGATTTCTGAGCAGAGCGCTGGAGCGCCGCCTCGCTCTCCTTCTTCAGCTCCTCCATGGCGGCGTGGAAAACGCTGCTGCTCTGCCCCTCCTCCTCCTGAACACATCAGCCAGTGAGTCATCATGAACACGATCCAGGATCAACCAACCGGCTTTCACAAAAAAGAGAACCTTCACTTCCTGTCGAAGGCGCTCCAGTTCCTGTGTCAGACTGCTGATGGAGTTGTTCTTCTCCTCTGACTGGTGCTCCAGGTCGTGGAGGCGGGTCTTTGTGGCTTTGAACTGCTCTGATAGGCTGTCGGATCTGTCAGTCTGCTGTTTGAGCTGCACCTGCAGGCTGGTCACCTGGAGGGATGCAAAGACCGTCAGCAGAAGAAGAAGCAGCAGAAAAAGAAGGAGGAGGAAAAGGAGAAGAAGAAGACCTCCGTCTGCAGCTGGAAGATCCCGTTCACCAGAGCTTTGTTCTCCTTCTGCAGTCTGGACGCCTCCCTCTGCTCCGCCTCCAGAGACACCAACACAGTGTCACAGTTTGGACACTCGTCCAGGTCTACAGCAGGACAGAAAGGGGAGGAGTCAGGAGAGGCGACAAAGTGAGATAAGTTCAGTGTTTCTCTGTGATGAACAAAAGTACGTGGACGTGTGTGCTGCATATGCTGATGTTCCCGTCTACATACTTTTGAGCGCCAGCAGCTGCTCCTCCAGCAGCACCTGCTCCTTTTTCAGCCCCTCCACCTCCGCCACCCGGCTCCTCAGCTCCTCCTCCAGCCTCGCCTTCTCTTGCTGCAGCTCCTCCTCCCTCCCTCTGAGCTCCACGATGGCCTCGTTCTTTCTGTCATTTTCCTCCTGCAGCCTCCAGATCTCCTCCTCCAGGACCACTGAGGAGGAACATGATGATAGGAGCATGAAGGTTCAGCACAAGCTCTCCATGTTCCCCCTCCTCCTCCTCTCCCCTCACCTCTCCTGTTTGCTCCTCGCTGCTTCTCATCCTCCACAGAGTCAGGCTGATGTTTCCTGCTCCCCTCCTCCTCCTGTCCTCTCCTCGTGCAGCTGCAGGTCTGCTGAAGCTCCAGCAGCTGCGACCGTATTGACTCCACCAGCTGCTTCTGCATGAAAGAACACCGCGTTAGGCCTCAGTGGGAATCAACCTGGAAACCATGAACAGAGCCCACTCACGTCTCGGGTGGCGTCCTCCACGGCATGGTCCATGGCTGCCCGGAGCCTGGAAAGGGCGCCGTCCTTCTGCCGACACAACTCCATCAGTTTCGACACCTCCTGCTGCTGCTGCTCCAGACGCTGGAGGAGAACACGAGGAGAAGAGTTAGTGGAGCAGAGCCGAGTGAGAGCAGGAGCCAGGACACCACAGGAGGAGGACGCTCGGGGTACCTTCTCGGCTTCTTGCAGTTGGTCACGTGACTGCTGGCTATCCAGTCGCAGCGCCTCCAGCTCTGCAGGGACAAGTCAGAGTGACCTCAGCGAGAAGTGTGCACGTGTGCGTGCACGTTACAGTCAAAGGGCCGCGACCCCTCGGCGACTCTTCAGACACTTAGACAAGTGTCTTTAACAAACAGCGAGGGCTGTTTTACACTGCACGGCGAACACGCTACAATAACCACATGACCGCCTATGAGCACGCGCTGTGGCGACAGTGGGACGGAACAAGTCCCGTTAAACAGGAAGAAAGCTGAAGCAGAACCAGGGAGGAAGACGGGACAAAGACGGGCTGAGAGCTAGAGACTAAGAACAACTAATGATTAAAGATGGAGGCCTGACGGCTCCACCCAACTTTAATCATTAAGTACTAATTTCACCTGCTCGCGTCCTCTTTAAACCCCGCCCCCTGGTCCTGTGCTGTGTGTGTGGTACCTGTGCTGTGTGTGTGCTCGGTCAGACAGCGGTGGACACTCTGAGCGTCCTCTCTGATCTTCTCCAGGTCTTGACTCATGGAGCTGATGATTCCCTCCAGCAGCACCACCTGCTCCTCCTAACAGTCGATCACGATCAATACTGAGTAATGGATCCTGCCTGTGTGTGTGTGTGTGTGTCTGTGTGTGTGTCTGTGTATGTCTGTGTGTGTGTGTGAGTGTGTGAGTGTGTGTGTGTGAGTGTGTGTGTGTGAGTGTGTCTGTGTGTCTGTGTGTGTGTCTGTGTGTGTGTCTGTGTGTGTGTCTGTGTGTGTGCCTGTGCGTCTGTGTCACCTTGTTGCTGTCCGTGCTAAGAGCAGACAGGTCGACCGTCTTACTGACGAGGTTCTTCAGGATCTCCACCCTCTTCTCCGCCCGCTCCTCCAGGATCTCCCGCTCCTTCTCCAGGCGGTCGCTGACAGACACGTGGACAAACCTGCTGTTAAAACGTCACATGATCGCAGCACCGGTCACATGACGGCAGGCCTGCACTCACCTGTAGTCCTTCTCCATCTTTTTAAAGAGCTCCATGAACTCAGCGCTGACTTCTTCTCTGACCTGAGCCTCGAGAACGAGACGCAGCGCCGCCTCCCTGCCCTCCTGCTGAAACACGCACATCAGCAAACAGCACACCTGTTTTAAGCCCCTCCTCCCTTGTAGGGGAGACATTACTGACTGAAGCGCAAAGACTCCTGGTGGCGTTATAAACATCAGGACGTGCACGCCGTCGTTGACGTTTTAATGTAAGCGGCTGAAAACTAACATCAGTGATGACATCAGCAGGTTCAGTAGCGTTACCTTCTCGTCCTCCTCCATCGTCACGTCCCACTCCTCCTCATTCTCGCCTCCTGCCTCCAGGACCGTTCCCTCCATCATGCTCTCCTCCTCCCCATCTTCCTCACCCTCTTCGCCATCTTCGTCCTCCAGCACGTCCTCCAGGCTCGTCTCCCAGGCGAGCAGCGAGCTCTTTCTGCCCCTCCCTGCCACGTTTCTGCGGCAGTCTGCCTCGTCGATGATCAGCGACAGCTCCATGGCCGACCTCTGGGAGGAGCCAGGACCGTCGGGGACCGTCGGCCTCGAGTTCAGCACCACCACCTGCGCCCAGGTGTCAACAGTCCTTAAGCACACGTTTCAAGCAGGTCTCACGATGAAAACAGGAAGTCTGACACGCTCACTGACCTTCTGAGCCAGCGCCGAGAACTTGAGCACGTTGAGCGTCTCGTCGAAGCACGACGAGTTCTGGTTGATGTTGACCACCATGGAGACCCGCCCGGCACCACAGAAGAAGAACTGCAGGAAGTGTGTGAGCTTGGACTCCCTGAAGGGAATGTGGTGCTGAAACCTGCAGCGAGGACACAGGTACACACTCAGCCACGCCCACATGCACGCACTCAGGTACCTGAGGCCTGAAGGCACAGGTGTCATAGTTCTGACGGGATGATGTCACAAACAACAACAATAAGTAAAGTTGCTTTGATGGGAGCGTGGCGAGGAGATAACAGTGGCGGGCTGATGGCGACCCTCCATCAGAGCCGTTCTTACAAACTCAAACGTGCTCTTTGCCGCCACGTTCCTCGTCTGCAATAATGAAATTATTTAGATCAGAGTAAAACGACGAGTTTAGTCAGGATGAGAAACATGACGTCATCACAGTAAATCGTTTCTTCCGATGAGGACGAGCGGGCTCGTCCCGCCCCTCCGTGCAATAACCAAACCTCAGCGTGACTCTTACTTGGCGTTCTGGTTGAGCCTCATGGCGTGGATGCACTTTCCAAGCGTGAGCAGCGAGCTGTTGATGTTCCCTGCCTCCTTCAGCCTCTCGCCGGTGTTGTGCGTCCGCGAGCACCTCTCCGACCCGGCCAGGTCGCACAGCGCGAGTCTGAACACACATACAGAAGTGTCACCTGCACGCCCCGCCTCCGCCGCACACTCATTGCAGAACTGTGAGCCCGACTTACTCGCTGATGCCGAGGACTCTGGGAACGCCGACGTCATCCACGCGCAGGATCCTGATGGAGAAGATGCTGTGGCTGCAGAACACAGAGTGGGCGTTACTGAAGCTAAACAACCGCAGGTGGAAACAGGACGACGGCGTCCGCTGCTGACCTCCTGCTGGACAGCTGGTTCAGGCGGGTGGAGGAGAAACTCTGGTTCCTCTTCCCGATCTTCATCACTCTGTACGCCTCCTCCGAACTGCTCACCTGGACCCAACGCAGGTCTGAGGGACATCGCAAACACAGTCATTAAACGGCGCGGCGAGCCTCAGCGCCTCGCAGCCGGCTGCTTTGATTTAGAAACACCATGACAACAAGCGCACTCGGCCACACGAGTATTCGTGATGGTGAATATCTCGTGTCGACCACGGCAGGTTATCATCGTCACGGTAACCTACAGTGTCCCAATCAACTTATTTATTTTCAGCTCCTAGCAGGAACTTTCAAAATAAAAGCACAGAGATGGTTTGGGAGGAACAGAGCAGCCGGTGTGAGAAACAGTGGATTCATCAAACACGTTTAATAATTAATATTAATGATCAGCGACTCAGCTTATCCGTGTAACAGGTTTGATTGCAATATAATAATCTGTCGTGCCCACCGACAGTCATGGATTTAAAGTACTTCCTGTGTGTGGCTCACATATTGCAGTGATTTCAGTGGGCGTGGCCATAGCTGGGCGGGACGTGACTGCGGACTAAACGAACTCCGACCCTCGGGCCGTCTGTGAGAGCGAGTGTTACCTTTGATGAACGAGTTTCCTTTCACGTCCTGAGACAGACGCAGGACCGTCCTCCTCTGCTGGCCGCCGGGAACCTGAACATCACACAGTCAGTCAGTCACATGGTCACAGGAACCACAGCGCCCCCTGCAGCTGCACCGACACCACAGACAGCTGACATACATGCAGTAAAAGCAGCTGTAAACCGAGGGAATAAAGAGTAAAGCAGCCGTGCTCAGAGAAAACTGACACGTGTGTGTGTGTGACTGTGTGTGTGTGTGTGTGTGTGTGTGTGTGTGTGTGTGTGTGTGTGTGTGTGAGACTGTGTGTGTGAGACTGTGTGTGTGTGACTGCAGCACGTGCTCAGTCCTGTTATTGGTTGGTAGCGGGTCAGCTGATCCTTATAAAACCAGAGAACAAAAAGAGGTGCCGGCAGAATAAACCAGCCCTCGGGGACGAGAACCTACAGGTCAGAGGTCGTGACTGCTGAACACCGTTGATGCCCGGTGTCCATGTCAACACCTTCACTGAAGGGGACATCCCAACAAGAAAGAAGAAGGCTCCGGTTTCTTCTGCCTGCACTTCTTTTTGTCCTCTGGCTTTATAAGGATCAGCTGACCCGTTATCAACCAATAACAGGACTGAGCACGTGCTGCAGGCGCTCAGTAATTACAAGTTAAAGTCTCAGTGAGGCAGAGCTTCAGCTGTACAAAATAAAACTGAGGAAAAACAGTTAGTGACGGGTTCAGCCAATCACAGCCAAGATCATCAAGGCCGCCAGTGAGGTCACAGCAGCATGTCTGCAAGGATCCATGTTTTTCCTCTTTAATGTACCCTGGGTCATTTGTTGGTTTATTGTGTGTACATTTCGGACGTGTCCAGTCTGCAGTGTGTGTTTGGTTTTCATGGATTTACTGTTATTGTTGTTATTTCCTGTTTTAATGGTAAAATCTAAAATTTAAAATAATGTTTTAATGGTTAACTTAAAGAGGCTCAGGATGAAAATGTGCAAACAAAACATGAATGTGTTCGTGTACTGGGATCACACACACCCACTCTCACAGAGTGGGTGTGTGTGTGTGTCACCTGTTCGAGCAGGTCGTGGATGTTCTCGTTGTAAATCTCACAGAAGGAAACCCAGACGGAGAAACGGACGTTTGAGTCGACGTCCAAACAGAAGCTGTCGGCCTCTGAGACGCTGTTCACACTGCTGTCACTGCTCAGAGACGAGCCTGAACACACACACACACACACACGCACACACACACGCACACACACACACACGCACACACACACACACGCACACACACACACACGCACACACACACACGCACACACACGCACCTTGTTTTAAAGCTTACAGTTAATCAGACGTCAATTCTATTCATAGAAAAACTGTTTGAGGAAAGCGTCAAACATCTCAGCCAGGACCTGCAAATGAGTCCATCTGTTGCTGGACTGAGACGCTGTTTGTTTCATCAGAGCAAATCAGTGTGAGGTGACATTAATAACCCACACACTCAACTCCTGCAGTTTATCTTCACAGATCAGTGATCACGCCTAACACCACCTTCAAAGATCATAAGCTCGGCGTTTCTCCAGCTTTTAGTCCCATCCTGATTAAATCAGAGTCACTGACCTTCGAGGAACGCCGACCTTCCAGTTGTCGCGCTTCTGTCGCTCTGTGGAGAGGAAGCAGAGACAGCTCAGCTCACCGCACGCGCTCACACCATGCTGCGACGCTCCCCGTCGCCCGCCTCACCTCCTTTAGCATCCTCAGCAGGTTCCTCTTGCTGCTGCTCTCGGTCGCCTGCTGGTCTGGAGTCAGTCTGCTGAAGTCTCGGCAGCGCTGAGGCTTCAGGTCGCAGCGGCCGTACAGGCGGCCTTCGATGCTGTTGAAGATGACCGACAGGGACCTGGGCAGCAGACCCGAGTCGTGGTCCGGACCTGAGCGACAGACGGACAGTTAGTCAGAGTCGGGCAGAGAGGCGGGTGATGGCAGACAGGAGGGGGCGGCGCTCTGACCGAGGAAGGTGAAGGTCTTCCCGGCGTTGGTGACTCCGTACGTGAAAACCAGACAGTTTCCTCCCTGCAGAACGTCTCGGACCAAACCCCGAACGGAGCCCTCGAACACCTTCCTCTGACTCGCCTCCGGACCGAACACCTGAAATACAACCACGACAGAAACGACACACCTGAAGGCACCACGGCAACAACAGCGTGAAGCAAGTGGGACGGGTGTGCACAGCTCCGGTCAGGTGACACGTACCTGCGTGAAGGTGAACCTCTGGGCCGTTTGTGGGAGGGACTTGTCGCTCTGTCGGTTTGACTGGCAGCTCCTGGGAGGCTTGAGGATCACAGTGTCCGGCCCCTCGATGGTCACACAGTCCTACAGAGGAAAACACACCTGCGCTGCTCATTCAGGCCTACAGACTGTGAACAGTCCAGGTCTGTGAGCAGGTCACAAAGACGTGGCGGTGTGCGTGTGACAGATCTGATCCATAACAGATGATGGAATCAGGAATAAGAAAGTTTCCCTCTGCGTGTAAACGTTATGTGAGGAAGAAGTTCCTGTCTTATCCTCCTTAAAATTTGTGTTTAGTGAAGCTTTGCTGAGCGTGGACTGAATGGAAGTTTGGTTCCTGCCAGCTTCACCTGTGTCTCACATCAGTCCTCTGTTTTTAACTGAATGACATCCAGCATGCTCCTCGGTGAGGAATACAGAACTGGTACCATTGATCTCTGCTGTAGACACCCAGAGTAGGAGAAAGCTGGAATAGTGAATCCCTGTAAAACACTGCGGTGTGTGTGTGTGTGTGTGTGTGTGTGTGTGTGTCACCTGTGCCTCTCCGCTGCCGCTCTCGGCTGCAGTAAAGGGTCGAACCCTCAGGTAAACCTGCAGGTTCTCCGACTGCTCCTGAGCGTCGTCCTGCAGAGAGAGCAGCATCAGTTACATGACCTGCATCCAACTCTAGAACAGGTAACCATCAGACAGCGACGGCATGTTACAGGAAACAGCAGGTACAGATGTGCATGTGTGTGCATGGAGGATGAATACACTGGATGCTTTTAATGGAAAATTTCCTGGAAACCAATAAACAAAGAAAATGGTTCTGATTTCACAGCAAACTGGAAGAAAACATCACTGTTAATGGTGACTGTACTGATGCTTTGAATAATCCCTACACACATCAGTGGGCATCAAACATAAAAGGACCACAGAGATCTTCATTGTGTGGAAGACAGTTTGTGGTGTTTGTGGATCTCTCTGTGTATGTGGTTCAAAGGACGAGACTCTGATTTAAACATGTGCAGGAACAACAGCACAGTGTGACGTTGCTCTGCAAGTCCCATGGATGGGTCCGTGATGTACTACAGCCTGTCCGAGCAGTGTTGCCAACTTAGCGACTTTGTCGCTATATTTAGCGAGTTTTCAGACCCCTTAGTGACTTTATTTCTAAAAAAAAAGTCGCTAAAAAAAGACGTGAAAGCGCGTGTCGCTTTTACTCTCAACAAGCAGCGGGTGCTGTAACGCAGTGTTCTTCTTTTACTGGATCACAAGGTTTAAAACTACTTATAAACACACACAAAGTAACTCCACCAGAGCGCCTATTTCGGGTCACTTTTGCCGGTGTTGTGCCAAAAAGTGATTGTCTGCCAAAAACTGATTTCCAGTGTTTCTGTGTATTTTTTATGTGTAATATCTTTACGTATGTTCGTAAATAGACTTCGGTGAACAGGGTTTACAAAGGGGTTATATAGAGAATTAAAACAATATCTGTTTTTCAAGTATCTTTACAACTCTCTGCTATTGTACTTACATTATAACCAATCCGGTCCTTTATCCCCACTTAAAATATTTTTACAGAAATATTGTAATATTTGCTGCCATTTCTGCTGTCCTCTTGGCCAACTTACTCTTACAAAAGACATTTTTAATGTTAATGACTTTTTTTAACTGCATAAAGGTTATATAAAAGTCACTGCCAAAAACTGATTGCGGCTTCTACCTTGTTACACGAATGTTGTTTGTGGCTCAAGATGACTTTATGTCATCCATGAGGGATGCATTTGACATATGTTTCACATATTATAGCCCAACAAGTTACTTATAGCAGTTTAAATACGAGCAATCAGTTTTTGGCAAATACCGGAAATCAGTTTTTGGCAGACAATCACTTTTTGGCACAACACCGGTCCAAGCCCGGGGAAAGTAGCAGGGTTGGAATTGTGACATTAAAAAAACCATAATTGCTAAAAGAAATTTAATTTGTAGTTCTAAATAAACTCTAAATGCATTTAGGACGTTTTTTTTACTCACTTTATGTCTCTTCCACTAGGGCTGCTCAATTAATCGAATTTTAATCACGATTACGATCTGGGCTTTCAACGATCATTAAAAATGACTGAGCCGATTATTAGCCCCTCCCTCGTGCTTTACTCTCGCGCTGCTCCGTGTGGCAAATCAAGCGCACCTCTCTGCATTTCCAACACGTGTCACAACAATTAAGAGGACCCGAGGGAAGCTCGGAAAGCTCAGCAGAAGTTATTTGGGGAGGAGAGTGACTGCCGCTGGTTGAAAAGAGAGGTAAAAACCACTTCAGTGGTGTGGAAACATTATGGGTTCTACTTGACGTGGATCAAGTAGACAGTGTGTAAACTTTGCTACAGTGTCATAGCTGCGCCACAGAGCAACACTGCAAAGTTCACTAAACACAGATGTTTACATTTTTCATTTATTTTTTTATATTGCAAACATTTGCACTGTTATCAGTATTTGCACACTATTTTATTTTATTTTTTTTAAAGTCATTATTCAATACATTGTTATTGTTAACCCTTTAAATCCCTGTAGAACCAGAACAGCGTAAGCTAGCGCAATAATTTGTTTTGCATATGAAACCGGAGGAGTTGTACTTACATCTTATGCCATCAGCTTCCTTCCACATAAAGCTTTGCAAAAATTGCATAAAAAGCGCTTGCAGAAACAAAAACATAATATTCCAGAAACACGCTTTGCCGATCCGATCATTTTCATGGAAAATTAGTTTGTTTGTTTTTTTACTTGTAGGCCTTAAAAGCCTATACTGGTGTTTTTATAAGTCATGTTTGACTCTATACTTTTCTGAATAGTTGCTGGGATGCTTAGAACTCAAATTGCACTGCTGGAAATAGTCTATTTTGATGCACATGCTGTTTTCTTTGCAAATTTGCATCATAGGATTGTTTTTTGTTTTTCCTGCAGTATATAAAAATTGGTGCATCTCCAAAATAAAACTATGAAGACACTCAAAATAAATTTCCTGTTGTTGTAAACTATTTTTTGCAACTTTTTTGTATTTAAAGTTTTGAGGGATAAACCTCTTAAATTTCCCCAAGTAGAAATATATGTAAAAACAAAAACGATTTTCAATTTTTTTGTAGTTTTTTGCACTTTTTTGCAATTAATGTAGTTACTATGGACTTAATGCATACATATTATTAAAATATGGGCTATAACAGTTGTATTGATGTATAGCAACTTGAAATGCTCCCACAAATGGCACTACAACATGTAAAAAAATAAATAAATAAATAAAAATAATAATATAAGCTCTGGCGGACTTGGTTCTATAGTAGGTCTTAAAGGGTTAAATAAATATCGTCAAATAATCGAAATCTCAATTTCAGTGAAAATAATCGTGATTATCATTTTTGCCATAATCGAGCAGCCCTATCTTCCACGATGTTATTTCTCTCTCCAACAACATAGGTTACAATTACATTAGCATGACCAATTATGCAGATTAGGCGATGACGTCATTTAGCGACTTCTAGCGACTTTTAGGACAGCCAATAGCGATTTTCCTTACTGACGAGTTGGCAACACTGTGTCCGAGGTCAGGGCAGACCGTGGTGGACCTACCTGTGTTGGCATGGCAGAAAACTCAGCCAGCAGGTCCTTCTTTATGTCCCCCACCTCCACTGGTCCCACTCTCTCCGGCCTTCCAGCTAAACTGGAATCCATTCTCTCTGCAAACACATCAGTCCAATCAACCACCAGTCTCCCCGCGGGGAGTTTCACCTACAGCTCACAGGCAGCCTAGACGCCCGCTAAGCGCCTAATAGAGCTTTAATCTGCGCCGATTTTACCAGCTAAATGAGGTGCTGCCTTTAAACATTTCTCCCATGATCAGCCGGCTTCTGTGCGACTGAGATTCAAACGAGAGTTTTAATTTCCCAGAAATGATAATGGAGTTCGGCCTGACTCCAGCACTGCCCCAATACAAGCTACTGGAGTGTAAACAGCCTGACTAAAACTGGCCACCACAGTCACACAAACACAGCTCAGAGTAAATCACATCTTTGACCAATCACAGCAAACAAACACAAAGAAACAACAGCAAACAGAAGGTAAACAAAGACCGTTTTTACACTCCGCTAGCTTTGTTGTTAGCATTAGCCATCTCATCTACGCGTTTTTACGACTTCAGCAAAACGGAATTTCGTTTTAAATGACAGGATTACGAATTAAAGCGATATTGTATGAAACTCGAACTCACGTGTCGTATATTTTATTTCACACACACTCTATTTACTACCGCAAACATGAGAAACAATCACTGCCTATCGGCCTTGCTGCGCTGTCCTCTCCGCGGTTTACTTTTTAAACTAGAACAGTACGACCAATCACAGAACGTATACGAAGCAACGTCACAGAATCGTTGTTGCCTTCATATAGAATCTCGCGAGATCAATATAGTGTTTCTTTTTAACAAATAAAGTCACACGACGCTGCTTTTTGTTGTTGCTGGTTTTGTTTAGTGATTGTCGAGTTTGGAGTTTTCTATATTTCAGAAATATAGAAATAAGTTATCGAAGCCAGTAACAAATGAACAAGTGTGGTTAAAGAAATCAACCGTCATATTTGAAATTAAGAATAGCTGTCAGCCCTTTAAGAAAAAATGTAACATAAACTTTATTTAATTTTCTCTTCTATTCGACTGAATTTTCTTCTATGTATGAATTCTTGTTCGGTAAAAAAAAAAAAAAAACACCGCCGCATGAAATTGACGTCATCGTGTGGCGTCGGTAACGGGCAGGAGGATTGAAGGGGATTTGGGGATTAGATGCTGACTGCAGCGGATCCAGTTGGACTTACTCCTCTTTATCGGGACCAAAGTGACTCCGTGAGGCGAAGCTGCAGCGGCTCCACCGAAGAAACGCCGCGAAAAGAAGCAAACGGGCGGAGGACGAAGACGAAGCGACACGGTTGCCTTGACAACGGTGAGACAACCCGGGAGGAGGGGAATTATTTTTAGTGCCGCTATTGATTAACTCTTTGGGTCCATAGTGTGGCGATTCACCTCTAACAGGTGAGAGAGTTCTGGAAATCAGATCCATCAAACACGGTACGCGAGCTGAGAGGGGTCAATTAATAATACACATGACAGGAGGCAGAGGATACTGATAGAGACTAACATACAACGATTAAATATCGTTGCGTCTCGAGAGAGCAGCACGTGTGTGTAGGTAACAGCGCCCTCTCACATCACAAACTGTTATTAAACCAGGAGTGAAGTAAAAAGCAGATCTGTGGGGAGAGAAAGGAGCGAGTGGAGAAGAGCCTGGAGGGTGGAGGTATGAAAGGTGTTTGAATGAAAGGGAGACAGGTGGAAGGAGCAGAGGTTCAGGTATTGATAGAGAGTGGCTATATGGGCCAAAGGTGGATGAAGATGGAGCTGCAGGCAGGAGGAGACGAAGAAGACCTCAGAGGAGGTTCATGGATGTAGTGAAGGAGGCCGTGCTAACACATTTCATTTTTATTCAGCGTGACCAAAACGAGCCACTCAGCTACAACTGCCGTCACCTGGTAGCTTTCAGATAGAATACAGCGGTTTCCGACCAGAAAGCTGTTTCCATGTTTTTACGGTCTGTGCTCAGGCCTCTTCCTGTGACGACCCTGTGTGAATAAAGCTTCGCCTGCCCCTTCTGCTGTGATGTCCTCCGCTGAGTCGAGTGGTGATGGAGGGAAGTGGCTGGACGCTCACTACGACCCGGTGGCTGGCATCTACACCTTCTCGTCCTGCGTGGACCTGGCAGACCTGAGCGGGACGGGGAGAACCGGCTGGTGGTCGGGGATCTGGGCTCCGGGTCGTCGGGGATGAAGCTGAAGGTGTACCGCGGCACGGCGCTGATGAGCGAGAGCACCCTGCTTGACCTGCCCGCTGGCCTCGTCGCCTTCTTCATGGACCTGCACGAGCCCCGCATCCCCGCTGTCGCTGTGGCCTCCGGACCCTGCATCTACGTCTACAAGAACCTGCGGCCATATTTCAAGTTCACCTTGCCTGGCCTGGAGATCAACACACTGGAGCAGGTCTGTCTGTGTGCGAGTGTGTGTGCTTATATTACCTACATCATGGGGACCCTGGTTCATTTAAGGACAAACAGTCCTTAAATGAACCAGGGGTCCAGTTATGTTTATCTCCAGGCACTTCATCCTCTGTTTGGCTGTAGCAGATGTGAAGATGACCACAGACCATTCTATCCGAGTTAAAATCCTGGGTTAGCTCTAATTTTCTAAAGCTCAAGGAGGATAAAACTGAGATCCTCCTTATTGGCACCAAATCCAACCTTTTGAAGGCAAACCATTTCTCACTCACCATCGATGACTCCTCAGTTTTCCCTTCTCCTCAGGTTAGGAGCCTTGGTGTCATCCTAGACAGTTCACTTTCCTATAAATCTCACATCAATAATCTCACCCGTTCCGCCTACTTCCATCTACGCAGCATTAAGAGATTACGTCCTTCACTTTCCACCCAGTCTACGTCCATTCTTGTCCACAGTCTCGTTACCTCCCATATGACTACTGCAATTCTCTTTTGCATGGTCTTCCCCAAAAATCCCTCCATAAGCTGCAACTGGTTCAGAACTCTGCTGCTCGCATTATCACCAGAGCCCTCCTACCAGCACATCACCTGTTCTTCTGGAACTCCACTGGCTCACAGTGAAAATCCAGATAATATTCAAACTTCTTCTGCTCACCTTCAAGGCCCTTCATAACCTCGCTCCTCCTTACCTTTGTGACTTGTTAAGCACTATCTCTTCTACCCGCTCACTTCGATCTTCTCCTTCTATCCAGCTTCCTTCTGCCTCAGCACCATGGGAAGCAGAGCTTTCAGCTGCTCTGCTCCCAGGCTGTGGAGCTCTCTACCCCCAGAAATAAGAAACACTGGTTCTCTCCCCAGTTTAAATCCCAGCTCAAAGTCCATCTGTTCAAATCTGCATATTCACTGTGAACCCACTGTTTGTTCATTTTATCTTGTGCTTTTGTTTTTATTGTTCTTCATTGTGTCATTGTTCCATTATGTTTTATCTTATTGCAAAGTGTCCTTGGGTGTCTTGAAAGGCGCTTTATAAATACAATTTATTATTATTATTACAGTTGGAGGATCCTCCTCTTTTCTGATGTCATGCAGGCTCCGGAGTGGTAGAGCGTTTAGATCAGTCTGAACAGGATGTTACTGTGCCCTGATGATGTGCTGTCTTATGTTGAGGAGCCATATCAGCTACTGTTCAGTGGATGTTAGTCGGAAATCACCACACTGAACCTAATGTCATTTAAAAGCAGTGAGCGTGTCCTTTTCACTGTAAACACACCTGAATGTACCTGTGACGTGCTGCTGCGCTTTGATTGGTCAGGATGTGTGGCAGCAGGTGAAGGAGGGGCAGATCAACCCTCTGACCCTGAAGGAGATGTTGGAGAGCATCAGGAAGAAGGCCGATGTGCCGCTGTCGGTCCGCTCGCTCAGCTTCCTGTCTCTGGAGCCCCACGAGATGGACGAGTTTGTTGAACTGCTCAAACACCAGCCGATCAAGCGCCAGGTAACTCCCAGGTCGCATCGTCCACAATGACATCACCGCAGTCCTTTTAAATCTGTCTTTATGATTCATGTGGTTTTCTTCTTCTACCTGTTTCACATGTCAGCTCCTGTTTGTGTTGATGGTTCACTGTATAAATCTGTACCTCATCACCAACAGTCCAAAACACTCTGTCATCATGTAAATCAAAGAATGATTTACAAGATGGCGCAGCCACGTCCAGACGCCTTCTGACCGCTCCGCACAGACTGTGCACCTTTTTAGCTGTTTACTTGTTCATTACCTTGTTATACATTCCAGGAACTTCTAGTTTTATAGTTGGACAGTAGCTCCCTTCTCAACATCGGTGATCTTGGACACTTTTAAACCAGACCCATCATGGCCGACCGAGATACTACGCGGTGCGGCCAACAACAATGGACAGGACGCTCACCCCAGGTGCCGAACAAAGAAACGCCGGAGAAATGCGCTGGCGTTCGGAACAGACTGAGACAGCAGGCGCACCGCGCACCACTGCCCAGCATCTTGCTGGCTAATGTACAGTCGTTGGAGAACAAACTAGATGATCTGAGGGCAAGAGTCACCTTCCAACGTGACATGAGGGACTGCAACATGCTGTGCTTCACGGAGACATGGCTGACCCCACCGTGCCGGACCAGGCCGTAACTCCGTCGGATTCATTCTTCGTGCTCCGCGCAGACAGAACGGCAGAGTCGAACAAAACAAAGGTGGAGGAGTGTGTTTCATGGTAAACAGAAAGTTGTGTGACCCCAGGAGCATTTCTACTCTCTCCAGCGGCTGCTCGCCACATCTGGAATTCCTGATTCCTAATTTCTGAGCATTAAGTGCCGCCATTTCTACCTTCCCCGTGAGTTCACCTCGGTAATCGCTGCAGTGGTCTACATCCAACCCCAAGTGGACACAGGTATGGCTCTATCCGAACTACATGATGTGCTGAGTGCCTTTCAAAACAGGGATCTGGGCTCAGCCCTCATTGTAGTAGGAGACCTAATGAAGCGAACCTCAGACAAGTCATGCCGACCTTTCACCAACATATCACGTGTCCGACGAGGGGATAGGATACTGGACCATTGCTACACGCCATACAAGCAGGGCTACAAGGCTGTTTCACACCCGGCCTTTAGGAAGTCTGACCACAACGCCATCTTCCTCATCATCCCAGAGTATAAGCAACACATTCGGAGGGATGAAGTAGCTACGAGGGAGGTGAAATGCTGGTCTCCCCAATCAGAAGCTACGCTACAGGACGCGCTCAACGACGTCGACTGGGACATGTTCAGAGCATGCGCAGTCGAGTTTACGGATGTAGCAGTAAGCTTCGTAAACATGCTAGTGGATGAGATCATCCCCACTGCGACAGTCGTGACATTCCTGAACCAGAAACCGTGGGTGGACAGATCGATCCGCGCTGCAGTGAACACCAAGACCGCCACCTACAACGCGGGTCTCGCCACTGACAAAAGTGCCCTGCAGACTGTTCACAAAGCTGAGGGATCTGGGACTTAACAGCCGTCTGTGTGCATGGGTGTTGGACTTCCTCACTGGCAGAACTCAGGTGGTGAGGGTGGGCAGGTGCTTCTCCAACAGCATCACCATCAACACAGGAGCATCTCAGGGATGTGTCCTCTCGCCACTGCTCTACTCCCTCTACACTTCAGACTGTGTGGCCACCCATGGCTCCAACACCATTGTGAAGTTTGCTGACGACACAGTGGCGTTGGGTGCCATCTCCAACAACGATGAGGCGGCCTACATGGATGAAGTGAAGAATCTGGCATCGTGGTGCCAGGACAACCACCTCCAGCTGAACGTCAGCAAGATCAAGGAGCTGGTGGTGGACTTCAGAAGGGGTCAGCACAGAGACTACAAGCCCATCATCATCAATGGAGCTCCAGTGGAGAGGGTGCAGTCCTTCAAGTATCTTGGTGTCCACATCTCCTCAGCCCTGACATGGGCTGCCCACATTCAGGTCCAGACCAAAAAGGCTAGGCAGCGCCTGTATCACCTACGACAACTGAGGAAGTTCAGGGTCTCTCCAAAGATCCTCAGGATCTTCTATACAGGCGCTGTGGAGAGCATCCTCACACAGAACATGACATCGTGGTTTGGGAGCAGCTGTGTGAAGGACCAAAAAGCTCTCCAGAGAGTGATCTGTACAGCAGAACGCTGCTCACTACAGCACAAGACACTTTAACACCCTCCTCACGCAACCTACACAAGCTGTAAATTTCCACATTGTTTTATTTAACTTTATTGGCCAATAGTTGCTGATCTATCGGCCGGGCCTGTGGACCGAGGGCTGGTGCTTCGTAGTTATCTAATGTATCACATACGTTTTTCAAAATGCTCAGGTTTTACAGCAGGTGATGTTTTACATTT